CCATGTCAGTTAGTTGTATATATCATCTATTTTATGCGCCATTTATCTATTCACTATTGCTACCTGAGAACCCAGAGTCTTTTCTATGGAGCAAATTCCATAAAGAAAGTTGATACTTCTTGGACATGTATAAACAAATATTGAATGTCTTCACAATTTAAAAATAAAATTATTGATTTTGGAATGGTGCTCAAGACTTCAAAAATGGGTTGGACGACCTCACGCCTCACATTCAGGTTTGAGCTATGTTCATTCTCAAAGTTCTCTTTCTACTTCTACTCCTCCTTTGGGTGGAGTGGTGAGAACTGAGGGTGTTGCGGAGGATATTTCGACTCAACAGAGGGGTCTTCTTGGGTCTTCAGGTTCATTGTGTGATGGGTCAGTGTTGGATGTCTCAAAAGCCACAACTGGGAGTGTTGGTTGTTTCAATGGGGTGACAGTTTGCGTTGGGAAAGACCTGCACTTCAAATTGACTAATGACTCAGCTCAGGCTCTAATTAAAGAGCTTCAGCTCTTTGCTGCGTTTAAAGGGCTGAATTGTCAATCATCTGCGAATGAGATGAATTTGTCAATTGAACAGGATGATTCAGAAACAGAGAGGGATATGCAATTAGGAGTGGTTGATTTTCAATTGAACAGGATGATTTGGAAACAGAGGGGAATATGCAATTAGGAGTGGTTGATTTTCCTTCTCAGCAGCACTGTTCTAATGACTCCTCTTCCTGGACAGATTTGGATCAACCAGAAGTGGACTTAATGGAACCTTTGGCAGTTGTGCGGCCAGATTGTTTGGAGACGACCAATGATCTGGGTATGGAATGGGTTATCGAGAACATTGGAGCAGTAAGTGAAGCCTTGGGTGTCTCTTCAGAAGGTTATGATGATCGAACCTTGTCTATTCTTCACGAAATAGTTGCAGGTAATGACAATACAAAACCTAATCGTGGCACAAAAGAAGTCAAAGCCAGAAAACATTTTTCGCATCGGAAAGGGGAACAGGAAGTGAAGAATCTAATTTCTTGTGTTAATTATGACCAAAAGAATGGGACGACTAAAGAAAGGGGAAGGACCAGAAGTGGTAAATGGGGAAGAAGAGGGGAGTTGATCGTTTTTGGTTCTTCATGAAGCTACGACTTATAACGTGGAATGTTCGTGGTCTAAATGATCCGGACAAAAGAAGAGTTGTCAAGGTAGCTTTGAGGAAGTGGAGTGCCCATGTCGTCTGTTTACAGGAAACTAAGATGGCTTCTATCACTGTTGAGATTGTCAAGAGTCTATGGGGAGGAAGGTTTGTGGAATGGGAAGTGTTAAATGCCTCTGGCACTTCGGGTGGCATTCTTCTCATGTGGGATCGAAGGTGGTTATCAAGTATGAATAGTTGGAAGGGTATTTTCTCTATGTCATGTCTGTTTCAGATGGAGGAAGACAGTTTCAGATGGGTGTTTTCAGGTGTTTATGGGCCTGTTATTGATAGTGACAGACGAGTCCTGTGGGAAGAGCTTTGCTACGTTAAGGGATTGTGGTAATTGCCTTGGTGTTTAGGCGGAGATTTTAATTCTGTTAGGTCACAGTTTGAGAGGTCCACAGGGCAGGTGGTCCACTGAAATGACCATGTTTTCAGAATTCATTGATAGTCATTTTCTCATTGACCTACCATTGGAAGGAGCAGCCTTTACTTGGTCTAATGGTAGGGAATCGGTTACTTTTTCACGGTTGGATAAATTTCTGATTTCTGGGGCTTGGGAAGAGCATTTCCCAGATATCTCTCAGGCTGTTCTGGTTAGAGTGACATTTGATCATGTGCCTTTAGTTCTTGATTGTGGTGGCATGAGTTCTAGACGCACACCTTTCCGTTTTGAAAATATGTGGCTGAGATCTGAGGATTTCCAAGGGAAAGTTCAGTCTTGGTGGGAGGAAACGAGTTTTACAAGCTCTGCTAGCTATGTGTTAGCTAGAAAGTTTCAGTTTCTTAAAATTGAGCTAAAGAGGTGGAATAAAGAAGTGTTTGGGAATCTTGAATGGAAGAAGAATAGAGTTCTTGATGAGGTGGGGCAGGATAGGGAGACATTACGCTCTAAAAGAGCCTTGTGCTAGGCGAATTTTGCTGAGATTGTTGTTATGGAGGAGATTTTGTGGCGTCAAAAGTCTCGGGCATTGTGGTTAAAAGAAGGGGATCGTAACATAAAATTCTTTCATAGACTTGCCAACGCTCACAAAAGATATAATCACATCGGGTGCATCATTGTCAATGGTTCTGAGCTGTGGAGAGAGGATAAGGTGCGCGGGGGAATTGTTTCTTTTTATCAGTAGCTTTACACTGAGACTTTGGGTTGGAGACCTACTCTTGATGGTCTTCCTTTTAACTCTATTTCTGTGTTGGATAATGATAGGATTGAGATTCCATTCACGGAGGAGGAAGTGCTTAAGGAACTTTCTAGCTGTAATAGGGACAAAGCTCTAGGACTAGATAGGTTTACTATGCAGTTTCTTAAGGAGAGTTGGGAGGTGGTGTGAACTAAGGTGATGGGCACCTTTCAGAATTTTTATTCTCATGGCACATTTGAGAAATCACTGAACGCATCTTTTATTGATCTCATTCCCAAGAAGGGCGGTGCCTTTGATATTAAGGACTTTCGGCCAATTAGCTTAATAGGATGTTTGTATAAGCTTATTGCCAAGGTTCTTGTCTCCAGGATGAGTAATGTTTTGGATGGTCTGATTTCAGAATCATAGAATGCTTTGTTGGTGGACGGCAGATTTTGGATTATGTTCTTATCGCAGGGGAATGTGTTGACTCTAGATTGAAAAGTGGGGTTCCTGGCATTTTATGGAAGCTTGATATTGAGAAAGTCTATGATCACGTTAATTGAAAGTTTGTTTTGTATCTACTTCGGAGGATGGGGTTTGGAGACAGGTGGATAAAATGGATTGAAACTTGTATCTCGTTTGTTATGTTTTCTGTGCTCGTGAATGGTTCCCCTATGGGTTTTTTTGCTAGCTCGCGTGGTCTGAGAGAAGGAGACCCATTATCGTCTTTTCTTTTCCTTATTGTCATGGAGGGACTGAGCAGATTAATGAGAAAAATAGAAGATTTGGGTTTCATCAGTGGATTCAGAGTTGGCAAAGATATCGAACATCAAATGCAGATCTCCCATTTGTTTTCGTTGCATTCTTGCTTGCTTCCAAGCAGTTTCTGGACTAAAGATTAATGTTGGAAAGAGTGTGCTTGTTCCAGTGGGGATGTTCCAGATATTTCCTCCTTATCTGCTGTCCTTGGGTGTGGAGTGGACGCTTTTCCTCTTCCTTACTTAGGATTGTCTTTGGAAGTTTCCTCTACGCGAGTTGGGAATTGGGACCCAGTGATTAATAGATATGAGAAGAGATTAGCAGGATGGAAAAAAAATAGTATCTTTCTGGGGGGGGGGGGGGGGGGGAGTCACTCTCATTAAGACTCTCGTCCCTTCCTACCTACTTTTTATCTTTGTTTCAAATGTTGCTGAAAGGATTGATCTTTGTTTCAAATGTTGCTGAAAGGATTGAAAAAATTTAGAGGGATTTTTTATGGGGTAGAAGGAGAGAGGAGTTTAAGTATCATCTCATTAATTGGGAACAAGTCTGCCAACCGTTGAAATTAGGCTGATTAGGCATTCGAAAGCTGGTTCCTTTTAATCGAGCTCTATAAGGAAAATGGTTATGGAGATTTAGAAAGGAACGCCATCGTCAGTGGAGAAGAGTTGTCTCGTGTCGCTTTGGTGAGGTGAGTGGGGGCTGGTCCTCTCTCCCAGTCACTATTACGGGAGGCGTTGGTGTGTGGAAATTCATTCGAAAGGGCTGGGATGTTTTCTCCTCGCACATTAGATTCAAAGTTCGTGATAGTAGACATCTCCATTTTTAGGAGGACCTTTGGTGCGGAGATCAGCTGTTGTCTCACTCCTTTCCTCTACTTTACAGTATTGCAGACAATAAGCATGTCTACGTAATTGATTGTTATCAACTTGATAATAGTGGAGTTACGTGGGACGTGCGTTTTAGGCGCCACTTTCAGGACTGGGAAATAGAGGAAGCTTGTGTTTTTTTTGGATACGTTGTATAAATAGAAGGATGTTGGCAGAGGGTGTCATGATATTTTGTGGGTTCCTTTAGCTCATGGTAGGTATGGTTTCCGATCCATGTTCATGTGTTTGTCCAACTTCGTTGGTCACGACTTCCCATGGAAGTCTGTTTGGCGTACTAAAGCTCCTCTTAGAATCGCATTCTTCGTTTGCACTGCCACATTGGGAAATATTTTGACATTGGACAACTTGAGAAAGAGAGGCAACATCATTTTCAATTGGTGTTGTTTATGTAAAGCAGATGATGAATCTGTGGATCATATTCTTTTGCACTGTCATATGGCGTACAATTGTTGGAGTTTTATTTTTAGCATGTCTGGCATTTATTGGGTAATGCCTAAGCACTCCTCACAATTGATCAACGCATGGAGAAGATGTCCCGTTAAAGAACATGCTCATGATTATTGGAGGATTGTTCCACATTGTGTTTGGTGGTATCTATTGCGTGAGAGAAATAACAGAAACTTTGAAGGAAAAGAAGCGTCTTTAGCAAATCTGAAAATTCATATTCTTCGTTCTCTATTATGTTATGTAAGAGGAAGGGCATGCTCCTCGATTGATGATTTCTTTGATCTTTTGAATGCTATTGGTCCTTAGGTCTTTTTTCTTCTTGTATTAGGGACGCGTTCCCCTTTTGAACGCTTTTCTAATATACTTTTTACTTATAAAAAAAAAAGATATAACCACATTTGACAATGAGATATAACCACATTTGACATTGAGATATAACCTTTTAGCATGAATTATATGTGGAGCTCGCTATTCAGATTTGTACTCGTGAAATTAGATTATTTACCTATTTAATTACATGTCTATTGGCTCCCAAGCATGGTTTTCCTTTATAGCAGAAAACAACTTAATATACGTTTCCAGAAAAGTAATACTTACTTTTATGTAAACACTGTTCTTGAGCTCCATTGGGATCTCTCCCATCTTGTAGCGGCTCAGAGGGAATGCCGACCCTTCTAGCAGAAATGGATTTAATACTCTGTTTTTCTTATAAAAACAAGGAAGCTCATTGGAACGCCACTTCAAATCCGAACCGTTAGTTGGAATATCTGACTGGGAATTGGAGTACGAAGGAGAGAAGGTGCGGAGGGAACGAACAGCCATTTGAGAGAGGAGTTTCGAGTAGGTTGTCGTGAGAGCTCTTGATGCCATTGTTGCAATCTCTGTAGAAGATAAGAGAGACAGCATATAGGGTAACACATCAAGTACGATTGCCCAAAATTTTAAGTAATAACGGGATTGCTAATGGCTTACCAACCAATTCGGTAATAAATAAAAAATTGTAATCACCAATGAGATCGAGGAAATAAATAAATAATTGTAATTACCAATGAGGTCGAGGGAAGCTCGTTTATTTATTTAGATATTTAGGCTGCAAACGACCCCAACCTTTGGGGGTGTTCAGTCTGGTCTGGTTAAAGACCAAGGGATGCTCGAGCTTTGGCTACCCATGATTTAGCTCGGCTGGACAGTGCTCCAACGTGCTCAAGGTTAACTCGGCTGCTCGTTTATTCATGCCAAAAAAGATATGCACCACTGATCTTGATTTCAATATCGATATTTGATCCCCAAAGTTTCACACAGTTAAAAACACTCCTGATGAGTGGAACATATGATAGAGCACTAATCTGAGAAATTTGCAGCGGTCCCGCTACTGTAATCGTCGTTCGTTTGAGGGGTGGGGGTGGTTCCGGTGGCTAAGGTTGTGAGAATAGAGATAGAAGAAATAATGTTTAGGTTTTAGAAGGTACATGACCTTGGCAATTAATGAATGAGTTGATTAGGTTTTTATTTAAAAAATAAATAAATAATTTGATTAGTTTAAAATATGGAGATCTCTTCCATATTTTTTCATTCCAATCTTAAATGAAAAAGTATAAATATAATTATATACACGTTGAATCAAATTTATTTTAAGGTAACAAAAAAATAATAGTCAAAATAAAAATAAAAAATTATCTTAAATAAATTGCCTCTTGCCCGAACAAAAAAACATATAATCATTAAAAAAATTATTATATCTCTTTTGAAAGAAAAAAAATACCAACAAATATATTTATTGAATAAATTATCTCATAAATATATATATATATATATATATATATATATATATAAAGAGGATTCAAAAATATTGCACTTCATATTTCTCTAATCGCAACTCCATTTACCTTTTTCTTATAAATAAAATGACAAGAATGACCATTAACTCATTAATGTTTCAACTCTAATTTTATAATGTTATAAGTACCCTATAAACAATTTAACATTTTTTTTTACATTTTTTACTTCCTTTACTATTTTTTTTTTTTTTTTGTGCTATATATATATTTTATTTTTGTTCTCCCAAAGAAGATAATTTATTCGATATAGATAACTTTATTTTTGGCAGTAAAAATAATAATTTATTCAATAGTGAATATGCAAGAAATTGTTCTCTTAAGATGGATTAGATTAGATTTCACACACACACATGAACTTGCTAGATTAATTTCTAAATTTTTCTAGTGAGATAAGGTCGTGGTAATCCTTAAACGGAGAAAGCCATTTGTTTTTCATTCATATTTTTTCCGTTCGAACTCATAATCAAACAAGTCACAAATAGCACCGAAAAACCCTTAGCAACATTTTAGATACTCTTACGAGGTTTTTATTTACGGGGAGCTTGAAACCCCGTAAATAAAAATGATTCTGTGCAGAATAGTGCTATAAAAAGAGATGTCGAACCCACGAGGAGCTGATGTCAATTATATTTCATAATTATGGAATGGTTGACACTTGAAGGAGGATGGGGTCCAAGACGACAGTGAATCAGACCCGATGGAACATGTTTCATGTTACTTTACGCTATCGTGACTTAGGAATGAATTTGACTTCATCAAGCCCTAACCAACTATTCGAGACAAAATTGTCATGGAGGCTTGTTTTTCCATTTCTAGATAAATCGTGAGGAATTTTGATTTAACTTGGTGTTGTCAAGCACCCGAAAATTGAAACAACATAAACTATACACGGTGCGGTTCGATACAATTTCGTCAGCATTATCCATGACAAAATCTAAAATTGACAATGAGATTCTTCCTAGGTGGGCAAAATGAATTATGATATGAAAACAGGTTGTTTGAATGAGCTTATCGTGCTGTTTTTAAAATCCAAATTACGTCCACAATCTTCGCACAACGCAACTCACAAATTACACGAAACTAATGATTTATTATGATTAAAGACAAAATTATCGCAAAAGAGTCTTGTAATTTTCTTGATGGTTCATACTCATTTTTTGTCTGCGCACAAAACTAGAGAATATCAAAACAATTAAAAAAAGTCAAAATTTGAAAATGTTGGTGGCGGGAGTACATTAAGCTAATAAACACTTACTTACTTAGGAAGTGTCCACATCATGACATTTAAATACGCACTTTTCAACGCTCATCAGTTTCAATGCTGTTGAGATCTTTAGCAAAAGTGCCACCCAATATCCAAATCTGTGACAAGCTAAATTCATTAGACTGCTGAATCCTTCAAAAGGTAACTAAATGGATTTCTAGTCCTCTTCACGAAGCAATCAAATGAACACTATTGTCTAGTTTAATTTCAACAAAGGTTTATTTTGGAGTCTTGGGACATTGTCGTTCACCTGCTCCCGTGCCACCACCGGCACAACTCGGGGTGGAAAGATCAATGATAATAAAGTTGAGGAAAAAAGGGTAATGATTATTTCTATATTTTACTTACAATTTTCCTCGTGGGTTAAACCAAGAGCAACAAAGAATCTTGACGGTAGGCTGAAGTCGCCGAAAAACCCAACAAATTATTCCTTAAGGAACTTGTGAAATTATTGAAGTGTTTAAGCAAGTGAAGATCAATCTTCCTCTCATGGTGAATGTGCGGTTCAAGAAAAGCCTTTTAGGCCTGGTCATTTTCTTTCTTTTCTTTTTCGATAAATTTCTTTTTCCGTCTTTTCCTCATTTCGTCCTTTAGTCATGTTTTGGAGAACTGTTGATAAATTAATTAAATGTTATTTTTATCAATTATGTGGATTGGAGGAAGCAAATATCAATGATTTTCTACAAAACTAAAAATACACAAAGCATGGAATTTAAATATCGTGGAAATTATTGACTTTGACTCAATGTATGTGTAAATATGGCACAAGTTATCTGAGCTCGAGTCTCAGGATCGAAGGTTAGGGACCATATATGCATTGGGCCGTTTCTTCCGTTGTTCATTTTTTATGGCAATGTCACTAAACCACTAGACGACACAGTTCCTCTTAACCGTTTTCTCAAGAATTCTCTTCATACCAATCACAAGGAAACCAATTTTCACAAGAGTTCTTGAAAAAGTACTGTTGCCCAAGTATTTAGAAAGTTGTGAAATGATTAGATTAGGTTGTATTTACCTTGTTTGACTTATTTAGATTCAAGTTTATCTTTTTATTTGAGAATTGACCATTTTGCCCTTAGTTAATAGTTTTTGCCCGTTTTGATTTTTGTTTCCGCTTTTGCTTTCTTTGAGTTCTGTGACTTCACGGAAGGTCACATTGGTGAGAAAATATGAACAACGGAAGAAACGGCGTTGAAAACTGGATAGAGTTCCTGAGCTTCAAACACTTGTGCATAGAAGGTGGTTTATATGCCTTGAGGAAGATAAAAATCTGTTAGTTGGTTTAATACTCGGCTCTATCCATTTCCATTCACTCTTCCTCGCATTTTGTTCACAAGAATGTTTTCCCCAAATTAGTTGAAAGTGTGAGGCTCATGGGAAAAGACCAGTTGTTGACTTTCTCTCTCTATATTAAGTTTGAGAACCCTGTCACAGAATGTCAATAAACACGACTAAAAATTTTCGTGGCAAAACTTAATATTTGTGGGTATCATTTATAGATATTTCTCATTTTGAATCTTTTTCGCCTCATACGACTGTAAACAAGATTTGCAAGCTCTTCTAGATTGCATTTTCAATTTAGGCAATTTAAAACTAAATTTTCTTCAATTCCAATTCCATGTATTTAGAAAGTATTCTCTTACACTTCACACTTCCATCTCTCTAACTTTTATTTATAGAAGTGTACATTTGCCCTAAAACCTCTCCCAAAACTCTCAAACCTGGGCTAATCTTTAGTGGGTCTCTCCTTGGGCCGTAGTGAATGGAAGTCCCTCCTGCAGCGCTGAGGAGATTGGGCCCGGAGGTGGTTGAATAGAGCTTTGGGCCTAGTGGGTCGTTCTGAAAGTGGATCAATGACGGGCGTGTATTTCCAAATATTGTCGTTGTGAATACACTCCGTACAAAAAAAAATTATTTACTACAATCACTTTATTAAAACTGTGTAGTGATAAGCAGGGTCGAACCTAAGAGAATGCGTTAATGAAAAACTAATATGAATCCAAGTTAGTTTTAATCTTAACACAGTAAAAAATGGATGGATTTGAAAATGAATTTAAAATAAATAAAAATAATAATAATAAAAATAATAAAAGATAAAATATATGAAATTAAATTCATCACAAATCTCATAACAATGTCTAATTGTATCTAACATAGGAAAATCCATTGTATGCATAACTATGATATGTAGAGATACATGATAACTACAATATCGTCAAGAAGATAAATGCACATATAATCAAGAACTAAGCATAAACCATCTTCGGTTGGCACGGGCCATCTACCTAACTACATTACTCTAAGGTTGTAGTACGGTTCGTCTTCCCTAGACATGGCCTATCAAAATTCTTTGCATTACATGCCATGAAAACCATTGTACAATCATCATTGTCATTGACACTATAAGAATGATTTTGAGCTTACTCAAGATATATTTTTTGTCTAGATTATGCAACTATCACATATATGAAAAAATTATCTCAATTATAAACACAATCAAACAAATATTATTTGAATGTAATTACATTAATCACGAAAAAGAAAAAGAAAATATATAAAAACTAAAATAAAAAAATAGAAAAACCAACACTGGAGGGGCAGGAGCCCCTTCTAGAACTCCAATCTGTAACCTTGTTCTCTTCTCCCTCTAAGTCTTCTGTGGGAATTTATAGCTAAATTCCCAAAACAATATTCTTCAAATTTTTCTTGATTCTTTCCATTTCCTCCCATTTTGCTCATTCATTCCCATCATTCTCCATTTTCCTTTTATATTTCTTTCCTCCTCTCTAGATTTTGCTCATTATTTATTACCCATATTTCTCCACAGACCCCCGACATGGCAACTAACTAGGATATTTGACCAAAAATATAATCAAATTCAACACTTTGGAGAGTTGAACCTGAGACCTTTAAAGAAATAGACTAAAGACCTAGTTATCTTTACAAATAATACAAATAAATATAAAAATTAACTAATTAATTAAAATAAATAAAAATAAACTACTAACTGATATAAATTTGGGGATAAAAAATGTATAAAATGTGAACTCATAACATCCCCAAACCTATATTTTGCTAGTCCTAAAGCAAAACACACAAAAATAAAAACAAAACCCACTTTCACTGCTATTCTCGATTGCATTTAGCGTATGCAATAATCCTTTAAACCCTTAAGTCCCCGTCAACGGTGCCATTTGTGCAAAAACAAAGAAAAACCTGCAAAGATTAAACTAAAAATGATATAGGGGATAAACGGGTCGAACCACTCTCAAATTAGATTCCGAACATAGATTCAAAACATCAATTAAAAGGGATAAAGAAAGAATTTTTAAAATAATTTGATGATTTTTGAATAATGAACTAAAAACAAAATAAATTAATAAATAAGACTAAATAATTTCTGATCAAATAATAGGAAAAATATCAAAGGAAATTATCCACCACCATGGCTTAATAGAAATAAATTTGTATATTTCTTTTTATGTAAATTTTCCTTCTGTAAGCAAATCACTTCACCAGTCCAATTACAACTTGAAAAGATGAAGGAAAATTATAGCGTTAAATAACACTTGCTTGTATATGAGAGAACATATTTT